GCAGCCAAATCTTCCCAATTATGCACATCAGACCTCTCCAACTGGTAAAACCAATCCAGCTGCGTCCCCAACAAACTGTCCTGGAAAAAGTGGACCCACAGGTCTTTGTCAGAAGAATGCGGTTGAATTTTCCTGACATAAGATCGCAGGTGCATCTTTGGGCAAGACACCCCATCGTACTTAGCAAATAGTGGCACTTTGAATTTAGGAGGGATCACAATTCCAGACACCAACCCTAACTCTTCAAATTCCAGCCCATGCACTCTCTGCACTTCCATGGCTGCCAGACGCTCTTCCAGATTTTTGTATTTGTCATCTGCAGGAGGGTACTGCTGTTCAGAATAGTCCTCATCCTCCTCTTCCTCAGCCTCAGAATCAGATGGTACTGCAGTTCCTTTACCCTTTCCTTCCCCCTCTTTAGATGTTGATGGAAAATCTAGGACCCTTCTGGTTTGACCTTCAAACCTTCTGCCCAAGGTAGCCACACCAGCCCTCTTCTTCTTCTTTTTCTCTTTTTCCTTTTCTAGCAAGGTCTTGAGCTCCTCCTGCCCCTTGGCCAAGGTCAGAAGTAGTTGTTGGAACTGTGAATTCTGGGCTTGCAAGTCTTTGACCGTCTGTTCTATATCCAACTTGATAAAATAAACAACAGAGAGATGAGGAAATTTGGTGTGAAGACTTGTTTATGCATATGATGAATGATATGTATTCATGTAATGCATTCAAGGATTCAGAAATTCAAATTTGTTTTAAACAAAAAAAAAAGGAACACACATCATATTAATAAGATAGAATTTGTTAGTACATCAATGCCCCATGGGCAAAATAATACAAAATTCTAAGGTAAAAAGATGTTGCACATCCTCTTTGGTGCAATGTAGGTGTTGAGAGTCTGCTCTTCGTGAAGTTGACGAGTGAGTTCCAAAACCTTCTTCTCGCTTGCGTAGAATTGGGCTTCAAAAGTACCGCGTTCTCCCTTGAGCTGTATCCAACTCCTTTGCAGATCTTCGAGCGATGTTGGCATATCAGGGTGTAGGAGGGTGTATGGAACCTCTACTTCCATAACAGGCTCTTTAATCACAGGGAGAATGTAGGGGTAAGGCATCATAAGACTTTGGGCGCGGGTTCGTACCCACTTGAGGTAAGGCTCAAGGGGGATGGAATTCTTGTGTCCCAAGGTCTTACTATCCACCTTGTTGGGCATCCTTCAAGATCGGATGAACCTTTGTCGAAGTCCTTGATCGTCGTTGTTGAAGTCAAAAACTAAGTATGGAATTAACATGTCATGTGGTCCATCCCTTCGGGCATACCCAAACTGTCTCAGAGCCAAGCAAGGGTTGTAGCTAATGCCTCCCCTAATTCCAAGTAGAGGGACATTAGGAAATTCCCCATAATGGTCAATGATGATGACATTCTCTTTTGATCGAGAACACCAATGAATATCTGAATGTGTAAGAGTCATCAATCGTTGTGACCACCTCAAACCATGCTCATTCTTCAAGACTGACTGGGGAAGATGAGAAATAAACCATCTTGCCAGTAGAGGAGTGAAACACATGAGAACACCTCTTTTCCTCATTGTTCGAGTGTGAAAAGAGTGGAGGATATCCCCAAGCAAAGTAGGCACAGGATTCTGAGATATGAAGATCTTGACAGCATTCACATCTATAAGTTGATCAGGGTTTGGGAACAAGACCAACCCATAGATGAGAAGTACTACAATTTCCTCAAATGCTTGCAGGTCTAGAGAATTCCAACAGTCTTGGACCTTCTCAAACAGGAACTTTGCCAAGAAACCCTTGACACCACTTCTGGTTTCCCAATGACCTATGACATCAAATGGTTGCAAGTGTAGGGCTTGAGCAACATCTTCAGGCTTTGGATCTCTTTCCGTACCGTTGAAAGGTAGTTGATGGAGAATATGAATCCTCAAGAGTTGATAAAATTCCTCCAAAGTAGGCACTAGCTGGTAGTCAGGAAATGTGAAGCAGTGGTGTAGGGGGTCAAAGAACTGGAAGAGAAATTTCACCATGTCTTCCTCAGTGTTGGTGTTGACTAAGTTGAGAAGATGACCATGCCTCTCGGTGAATGGAGAATTATCAGGAATCCTTGAAGCTAGCTCCTTGAGTTTAGGAGGAATTCTTACAAGGTTGACTTGGATAGTTTTCCTGCGAAGTGAATCCATTACATGCAAAACAGGAACAAAGATGAAAATCCAAATCCTTGAAATGGTTAGTGGATGCATATGATGCTTCATGATGTTCATGATGTTATGTACAAGTATATGTACAAGAAAATCACACAAGTTCCTAGTTCAGGCTTGCATGAGGTTTCATAGGTAAGTACCCTCTTGAAGTTTAGTTGGCTCAACCTGTCCTAGTAAATAGTAACCGGGTTCTAAGGAGCTCAATATCACTGGATTGTTTTTTGTGTTCATTGTTTCAGTTTAGCCACTTTACTGGCGACCGAAATATTCCAAGAAAACAACCCCCAATGAGTGTAGTATCGAGTATCTACCAACTTCAGACTGCACCAAAGCCGGTCATCTCACTACATCCTAAAAGAACAAGTTGGTCAAGTAAAGGTTCTAAAAGTTTATTAGTGCTTCATGACATCACTCAGCGGCCCCAGATTCTCTTTGATTGACTAAAAGGCTATCGGTACCCACAAATATGTCACACTAACATAGCTATTGCTTAGACCGTGTCGGTATACCCCGCACAGTTTCCACAACGTATTGCTATTTACCTATGAATGTTTCCCAAATCCGGGTAGAGGATTCAAACCCAAACAATAGAACCAAAGTGTAAAGCATACAAGTCAAACAAGATAAGCATGTAAAGGTGATCTAAACCCTAAGGTAACCCCACTTTTATAATATTCCCCAGCAGAGTCGCCAGTTCTGTGATACGGTGGGAGAACTGACTTGAGGTTTTGCGTTTGTTTTCGCAAATGTTTCGTTTTAGCAAGAGTCCCCACCGACTTTTTATTTTATCCAAAGGAAAGGTCAAAAAGCACAGGAAAGACCTTTGAGATGTTTTCTTGAGTTCGGGGGGTAGATTATGAAAAGGGAAGGTGCCAACACCATTTTCATCCATGGTTTTCCATGGGCTCTTAGTTACTTGTTTAGATCACTTGCTTTGCTTTTCCAATTGTTTGAAATGGTGCTTTGTGTGGTTTTGAAAGTATTTTGAAAAGAGGCTATCGTTTTGGAAATCTTTGTAATGATTCTTGTTTGAAGAATGTATACAAAGATGTTTGTCTTTTGAAAAATGTTTCAAGATTTGAAAGTTTGTTTGGAAATGTTTTGAAATTGTGTGTGTGTTTGTTTGAAAATAGCAAGGATGGTTTTGCAAATTGATCAAGTAACTAGGAGCATCTACCTAATCAAAAGTCTTTCTTGTACATTTTTAACCCTTTGACATTGTTGTTTTACCATTGTATTTGATAAACAACCTTATCTTTGGATGTTAAACGGGACGGGCGTGGGTCATCGTATGACCATGATAGCAATGGTGCTAAGTATCTTAGCAAGTTTTAGGGACTAAGATCATTTGTTTTTTTAGGCAACTTGTGATAGCGTCATCAAGAGACTATGATCTTTTTGTTTTTGTTTTGATTTTGCCAAGATACCTAGCATGCATACCATAGTCATGTTTTAAGGCAACAAAGTGGATGAAACCCTAGGGGTGCTTGTGTACAATGTATTGTCTTTTTTCATGCATTTTTGTCTTGTATTAAGTCATGCTATTTGTTTGATTTTTGGTCTTTGCATACAAAAACCCTAATTTACTATCATGGTATATGAAAGCAATAAAATGCGTAAAATAAATCTAGACTATTACAACAATATTATGGGGAAGGGGATACAAGTATGAATAAGGGATATTTGTACAAAATAAAACCCTAATTTACTATTACAACCCAATTGAATTTATACAATAAATAAATGAACAATTATTTAAATGTACAATAAAATGTAAATATGCACAAATGTTTTTGTATTTATTTTATGTATGTAAAATAAATTTATTTATGTCTTAAAAAAAAAAGAAAATAAAATGATTATTTTTGAAAGGATGAAAACCCTAATTTTTGTTTAATAGAAAATATGCTTTATATTTTTTATTTTTTATTCAAGAAAAATAATAATAATATGTACAAAAATTTTAAAAATTAAAATATGTGAGAAAATAATATTTTATATGTATAATATAATAAAATAAAATATTTAAGTATTTTAATATTATTTACAATTTTATTTAAGAAAATAAAGTATATTATTATTTAATAAACTATATTTATGCCAAGAAAATAATAAAAATAATAAAATAAAATGTGAAAAATTAAGAGAATATTTTTCTTGTGATTTTAAATATTTAGAAAAAATAAATAAAGTCAGAAAATATAAAAGAAATGAAAAAAAACATAAAATATAGCAAATGGGCCAAGGGGGTGCAGGAAGTAAAATGGGGTGCCAAAAGAAACAAGCCCAAGTGCCAGGCCCAAGTTGACTTCATCCCTGACCTTTGAACAAACACACGCGCGCTTCTGTTATGCAAATCCTGTTCTTGCTCATGCTTGCATGAAATTCAAAACTTACAACATGAAATTTGTAGCTTGTTAACTCACGATTCTAATGATATAAAAAACATGTCCTAATTCTAAAAGACCAAAGAGAATTTTATCACCCCTAATTTCTGACCTAAAATTTTCAACAACTTCAACTATCAAATACTCCTAGCTCAGTCAATATAAATGGAAGCTATGCATATGTACAACTCAAGCGCATTAAAGACTACATTTTCGCTTCACAAACCTAAGCCTAAGGATGTCTAAATAAGGAGATAGAAAGTTGACAAATACCTTGTTCAGTTGAGTTTGGATATGGAAATGTAGCAACTTTGAGTGAGGCCTGAAGTTCTTGTGAGCTTGCTTGAAGTTCCCTCAAGCTTTCCCAATGCTCAGCTTGCTTTGAAATGGCTTGAATCTCCTTGTAGAAGTCAACCTGCAAACTCAAAAATTGAAAATGGTAAAGCTTGAAAATGAGCTCACAGTTGCTGGACAGGGGTCTGGATAGTTCAGGTGTGTTGTAGGGAATGTGTTTCAAGTGATTCAAGACAAAACGCACGAGCCAATTTGGTTTTGGAAATAGTTCTGCAGATGATGCCCTGTTTAGGCAAGAACTTGTGATTTTTGTGTTTTAGGGTGTTTGAGAAGTTGGAAACTCGTGTTTCTTGCTTGTTACAATATGCTGAGCTTGTCTAGAATAATGCCAAGGCTTGGTTTTAACAGATACAAGAGTTGTGTGGACTTTTGCAAGCTTACTTGCTTTTGAAGCAAAAGTTGAAGTGACAAAGACATAGGTTGTACTTGCTAGCTCGTGGGGTGTAGAGAGTTGGTACACTTTTCCTAATGTTCATGGATCTTGTTTACAACCAAAGATCAGGTTCAATGCTCAAGATAAACAAAATTGCTAAAAGTATGCTTTATCAAAGTAACATTGTAACCTTTATGCCATTTTTGGAATAAATCAATGTACAATGATCCTAAGCTCAGAACAAAGCCATTGTCCAATGTATTTGAATTAAATTAATGAGTGTGGAAAGGTTTAAGACCTGTAAAACAAGTACAAGCATGCTTAGGATAGATTTGCAACTTGTAACATTGTGAAAAATGCCATGGACAAAAGTGAGAAATTGCCATTTTCTTTTCTTCGATTCTCCCTAACCATAAATGATCTTGGAGAGTTCTTAGACATTTTGGAAAGCTTGTAACATTATATACAATCCATATTTGAAATGAATTTTGAAATTCCACTTGGAACTAGGTGAAAAGTTGCCATGAAGTTAGGTCAAAAATCTGCCTAAACTAGGGCAAAATTTCACTAAGTTAAAAAGTTTATGGACCCTTATTCACAAAATCATAACTTGAGATCCAAGCATAATTTGGGAAAACTTTGTGAATAAAAGTTGTATATTTTATGGAGGACTACAACTTTCATGTTGGAAATTTTCTTTGAATCCAATTGCATCAGGATGAAAAAGTTGGGAAACGTTGGGAAAAAATAAGAAATTTTCATAACTTAGAAAATTTCTAAGTTATGAAAATTTTCAAACTTAAACCCTAATTTCCAAATTTAGGTTTCTTGGTGAAAAAGTTTCATGTTTTGACACATATTGATGAAAAATGACTCTTGGCACTTGATTTTGACCAAAAAGTCAAAGTTTGACTTTTCAGTGTACAGTTGATTTTTGATTAGTTGACTGGAAAATTCATCTGTCAATCCAATGCATTTGAGATCTTTTGAAACTTGTGATTAGGTCAAGATGATGCCATTGAGTCCTTGAAACCATGCTTGAACCCAATTTGCCATTGGCTAGGTGAAAAATCAGAAATTGTCCTTCTACAAAACATTTTCCTGGAACTATTTCATGCATCTCAACCATTTGCCACAATGTGTATAATGTAATGATCCATGAAATGATAAGTAAAGTTATACCAGGACCCCTGAAAAGAGTAAAAGAAATAAATTTATAAGTGAGTAAAAGAAATAGTAGATGTTAAAGAGTAATTTAAGTTTGAAATCAATATACCATCCAAGCTGTGATATAGCATAAGGGAGACCAAGAACACCAGCTCCAACCATGGCAGTGATATTGTGGAAAGCTGAGTACCACCATTTTACACTTCTATCAGCATTAACTGGAAGCCACTCATCAATTTTCTTCTCCCTATCTGATTTTTCTTCAATCTATTTGAATGATAACAATAAATATTTAAATGAGATAAAGCTCTAAAATAATAAGTTAGTCAAATCAAGATGTTAGAAGTAAATATACAAATAAACACAATAGAAAAGGAAAAAAAAAATTACATGGTTCTTGCTAGTATTTTGATATATATGAATATAGAGAAGAAGAAAAAAGTTATGCAAATAATTTTATTTATTAAACATATTTAAAAAATAATACTAGCAACATTTAAAGAAAAAAATCTCAGAGTACTCGAATTTGGTAAAGACATTTTATCAGTATTTAATTATTTCTTTTATTTAAGTGTTTAAGTGAGAGACAGCTGCAAAATTTTAAAAATTCAAAGTATTTGAACACTTTATAAAAAAATAAAATGTATTTGGACGAAATCTGAGATATAGACAAAAAAATCTCTAAAAAATGTTCCTTGAAAAAGAACAAAATAAAAAGTTACATTATAATTTCACCGTCTATAGTATATTTTTTTAGATTTGTTTGATATTTAAAACGGGCAAAATTTGATTTATATATTTAATTAAATATATGAATTATTTTAAGAGTCTCTTATTAAAAGAACTTGAAGTAATAGTATCTCATGTTCTATCACAGTTATTAATTGAACTGTCTTATTGTTGAAGTAGTAGTACGGTTACACCGGTTACAAAAAGAAAAATACTAAAATTATGTAGTTTTCCTCAACAAAAGAAATGTATACATGTTTGTATAAATTTGATTTAATTTCAACATGCAAAATTGCTAATAAAAATGAAGAAATTATGCTATAGAAAATAGTATAAAGAGAGACACTTACAGATTGGGGATGAGGAGGAAGACTAGATTTGAGAGCATTTGGTGATTCCATGACAAGCAAAGTGAGACACAAGAGAAGTGAAAGGTTGTAGTGTTTTAATACAAGTGAAATTTAATGCACATGGTATTTAATAGATGAGTGCTGTGATTTTCATTTACGTATTTGATCTTTATTTTAGTCTAGATACACTCGTGAGTAAAAAAAAAAGGTCAAATACGTATGCACACATTTTTAGGTCAAAATAAATGTACATATTTTAAGAAAATAAAAAGAAAAAGCAAATAAAATAAATATTATAATTGATCTATTTTTTATTATTTTAGCTAATTTTTGTTTAATTAAATTTAAAATCTTACTAGTCAAATATTAATATTGAAACTAAAATATGTGTTTTCATACTTTAGGATTAAATAAAAAAATAATTTAATAAATTATTAATTTTGGCTTTACTTCTTTCAAATTAATTTTCTTTCTCCGCGTAGAATTCAGTGTTGGTATTTAGACATTTTAAATATGGTTAATATGATGAACACGAGACAAAGGAATGATGTTATATATTTTTGGCTTATTTCTTGGAAAAAACTAACATTAACATGTATTTTAAATCACAAATTAATAAATTATTTATAAAATATTTGTTCAGAATGTGTGTATTTAATATTTTGAAATTTTAAATAGTATAATAATTATATTTAAATTTTTTTTACTAGAATATTCTTAACATATATTTTTTAAAACACATGTTAGCATGATTCTATCTTCTTTTTAATGTCGTATTTAACTTTTGTTTAATTTAATTTTTTAATTTTATTAAAAATGATCCGTATTAATTTCATAACTCTTTAAAAAGTTTTATATTTAACTCTTTTGTTTAATTAACATTAAAAAACTTTAAAATTGATTATTGAATTCATCTTTAATTAAACGACAAGAATTATTATGATATTTGGAAGAATTATAAAATTAATATGAATTTTTTTTAAATTAAAAACCAAAATGAACATATATCTAAATTAACATACGAAACCAAAAAAATTATATATATATATATATATATATATATATATATATATATATATATATATATATATATATATATATATATATATATATATATATATATATATATATATATATATATATATATATATATATATATATATATATATATATAAGAGAATATAATGTTTTTATTTATAAATAAAATATTTATTGCATAAAAGAAAAAAATTATAAAATATAAATTTATCTCATTAAAAAAAACTTAAATATATTTTTTAATCTCTATTTTTATAAAATGATGTATTAGTCATCGTTTTAAAAATTCAAAATTTTGTTCCTTCTAATAAGTTTAAAGGTTTTTTTGGTATCACTAGATTAAAGGTAGTGTATTTTCAATATAAATTAGTTTTATATTATTATTTAAAAAATTATAATATTTTGTCATGTACTGCCTGTATTTGAAAATTAAAAGTGTGATTTGCTAAAATATAGTGCATATTAAAATGAGAAAAAGAGTATATATTTTTACAGTGTCAATCAATCACCATCATGTATTTAGTCAAGTCACACTTTAATTTTTAAAATACCGATATGATATGGCGGGATGAAAAAATCTTATTGGATGATATATAAAACAATGTTACACCGTTAGTGCACTATGTTTAACCTCTTGAATTAAAATATAAAAAAAAAAGCCAATACTTTCAAAAGAAAATTTTTTGAAATTTTTTATCGAATAACCAAAATTTTCAATTTTAATACCTAACTAACCAGTCTTTCCACATGATTTCCAATCTAACCATGTTTCAAACAAAAAAAAAAGGATTAAAGAGGAGGCGCCACTTGAATAGACGTCTCCTATATTTTTTTTTACTTTTTCCAATTTACCTGCGGATTTACTTGTGAATTTGACGTTACCTGCGGATTTACTTGCAGATTTACCTGTGCGTGCTTGTCTGTAGGTCAATCCGCAAGAAAATTCGTAGGTAACACCAAATTCGCAGGTAACTAGAAAAAGTAAAAAAATATAGGAGGCGTCAATTCAAGTGGCGCCTCCTCTTTAATCTATTTTTTTTGTTTGAAACATGGTTAGATTAAAAGTTATAGGAAAATGTTGGTTAGTTGGTTAGTTGGATATTAAAATTGAAAATTTTGATTATTTAAAAAAAAATTCAAATTTTTTTCGTCATTTCTTCTCTACTAAATCTAACAACCCTTAAATTTACATCCTCTTATTCTTCTCCAAGATAATGAATCTACATTCTTCTCTTCTTCTTTTGATAAAAAAGAAAATAAAGATTTGGAAGAAAAAAAGAATTAAGAAACCAAATCATAGAGAAACCTACTCAAAGGAAAACTGAAATGAAATCAACTTTAAAATCAAACTAAAGGAAGGAAATCAAAATCGAAATCAAACTGTAAACGAAATGTAGATCGAACTCCAAAATTGAAATGAAACTTCTTAGTCCCTGAATGTCTTAAACTCATGATATAATACTAAAATAAATCGAAACTTGCAACTATTGCTTATCTCTATTTTAGAAAAGAGATCGAAATACTAAATTAGATGACTGGAAATTAGAGTTCTTTTTAGTATGTTTCCTCTATTTCATAAAAACTCATATTTCTTATCCATTTTTGAACTATTTGTTGCTTATTTATTATTATTGTTGTTTTGGTTTATAGTTTCAAATAAGAAAGATGAAAAAGTGCTATGGTCGACCTTAAAACCCCAATATCGCGGATATGATTTATTGTCTTCTTTTGGTGTGAAAATATTTGTGACTTTATCCTTTAGAAAAGGTTAAGGAGTGTGGGTGTAGTATACAAACTATATCCTTAGCCTTGATTACCAAGAAACGTGGGTCTATTTTGACTAGTCCAGAATAGTTATCTCTATTTGAGGCTAAGAGGTGGGGTACAAGTAATATTTCAGTTTGTTAGTTGTAATTCAAATCCAGTTTTGTAATTAGCATTTGAATTTAATTTTCATTTGCGTTTGAGTTTGTATTTGGTTTTGCATTTAAGTTTCATTTGAATTTTGGTGTTAGTATAAAAACCCAAGATTGTTGCATTTGTAACATAATTCTGATTTTGAGAAATAGTTGGAAAGTTAGTTACAAAATTTTCTCTCTCTTCTTTCATCTTCATCTTCAAGCTTCTTGTGCATCAATGGAGGTGTGAACTCCAATAAATTGGTATCAAGAGCTCTAGTTCTGATCACAAGGAAACCGAGTGTACATGAGGTGTGTAATTGATTTCATTCCTCAAATTCACACTGAATTGAGATCCAAATCGGAGAAGAATCATATTTTTTTATTCTTATGAATTGGGAAACACGAGTATTTTGAGAGATTTGAGTGAATTGCACAAGAACGAAGATGAACGGCGGAAACGGTAGCTTGGACACAAAGCTTCTAGTATTCGACATAAATAATTCAAATTAGTGGTCGATTCATATGTGTGTGTTGTTTGGATCTCAAGATATTCTTGATCTCATCAATGACAATTACACGCCGGTTGTAGAAGATGCAATAGAAGTGCAAAGAAACATGCAACGTAATATACTGAAGGAGGATACTAAGGCATTATTCTATATCCATCAGTGTGTGGATATGAAGGTGATTGAGAATATTGTCGATGTGAAGACGATGAAAGTTGTGTGGGATACATTGGAGCAATGCTAAAGAGGTGACACAACAGTGAAAAAATGAAATTGCAGTCCCTACGCAAGCAATACGAGAATCTCAAGATGAAGAACAATGAGAATGTATCAGATTACAGACCTAGAGTGACTCTGATCACGAATGAGATGAAGGCGTGTAGAGAAACTCTTCCTGAACAAGCTATCAGTAAAAGGTTCTCAAATCCCTTATTCCTCAGTTTGATTACATAGTTGTAGCCATATAACATTCTAAAGACACATTACTACAGAAAAGACGTACCACAACGGTTGTAAAAGAGATACCATAACACCCAACCAAGCATTGTGAGGTAAGATGTGGTTGTATGTCTGGTGCTTTCCACCACGGTCACGAGACCGTGATAATAAGGTATGACGCGCGTTACCTATCGCAACGGTTACGCCTAACAACTGTTGTAATATATATTTAGGTAATGGATTCGAAACCCAACAACAACAATTTATTTGGAATATATTTAATATTTCACCACGATTAAAATAAATAATCGTTGTTGAAATCATTCTGGGTTTATTATGTAATATGTTGATTGCTTGTTTTTCCATACAACTCACTAAACAAATACAACCATTCATATTGATGAAGAATAAAATAATCTAAAAATTAAACTATTCTTGAAAAACAACTTAAGCAAACCACCGTTTTTCGAATTGCCTGTATGTCATAACTCATATCTTGCTATTTAGCATATAGAATATGGTTCAATGGATCAAGTCTTTCATAGCATTGATTCCTTCTCTTTTAGTTTATTTTGAATATCATCAACTCATTGGCTAATTCTGACTCATCATCGTCACAATCATGATGGTAGTGACGATGATGAGTGAAACTTATCCAATAAATTAATGCTATTCAAAATAAACTAGAAGATAAGAAATTGATTCCATGAAGGACTTAAGTAATTAAACTATATGTTAAAGAGCGTGAGATGAATTATGAGATGGATTCAATTTGAAAAACATTGATTGATCTAAGTTGATTTTCAAGTACAACTTAATTTTCAAATTATAAGTTTCTAAATCAGTTTAAATGAATGCATTTTCAGTGAAGGGTTAGCGAAAAAAACAACCTAAATACAATATAATAAACTCAACTTGATCTTTTGTTAATTTGCATAAGAAATTAAAGAACAAAACATTGTTAAGTCACAAGAAGTTTTTTTTCTTGTGACTTAGCAATGTTTTGGTCTTGTTCTGACAACATTAATCAACAACAATAACATATAACAATATTTATCAACAACACAATAACAACATACATTTTATCAACAAAATACAGACAATATACAACAACATAATACAACAACACAATACAACATAAAATGTTTCACGAACGTACATTTAATTA